TATTTGACATCAATTCCCTTTTCATAACAAGTATCAACATTATTAACGCCAGATGCATGACCCATCTTTGTTAATTTGATAATGTTTAATTGTCTTGTGTTGATCCTTTTCCAACATTATATATTCCCATTTCATTATTCATCTCGGCTAATCTTAAATAATACGATGTTCGAATTCCTTATTTTCATTCTCTTGAATTAACCTAATTCCATTGAGATAACAATAACTAACTTGATTCATTCCATGTACAGTACGTGATGTCTCACATATGGTCGATTTTTGATAATATTCGAATACCTTGTGTCGCCCTTTTTAATTTCATTTCGATTGAGATAATAATATAAACATTATTTATTCCCGATGTTTACCCATCTTGTCTATCCTTTTCTACTCCTATTCATTTTTCATAATAAACGCTAATATTATTACTCTTTTTGCATAACCCATCTCAAAACCCTTATGTCGTTCTTTTTGACTCCAATTCCCTTTTCATAACAAATACCAACACGAATAACTCCATCTCGGTTAATTTTTGATAATATTTAAATATCTCAAGTTCATACTTTTCAACTATTAGCATGTATAAATCATTTAGATATATGGTTGGTTATAACATCAATAAAAATCTATAGCATCGATGCCTATTTACCTTAAATAGTAAATAATCATAATTTACTATATTATATTTTAATATTAAATTATTATTAAAAAATATTTGTTTATACTGTATACTGTATATTACCTTTTAAATTCAAATTAAATAAAAATTATTTTTGCTTCACAAATTAAATAAAAATTATTTTTGCTTCACAAATTAAATAATACAGTATAATAAACAAGATATCTGCTGTAAATTATAATTGCTAATTTTATATAAAAAACATTATCATTATATACAGTAATTTTTGTCCATTGATATATAGTATATACTTATTCTAATATACAGTATATTATTTATAAAAACATTAAACATTTTAGTAAATACAATACTAATAAATTATATTGTATATTGCAGTTGCTATTGAGAGATTCACAATCTTCGAAATGGATGCTACAAAAATTAAAAAGACGTGAGTAATGCCAGGTGGAAATGCAAGAAATAAGATCAAAATGACTTAATGCGCGTATACCATATTATTGTATTCTTTTGTTTTTTTAATTTAAAATAGCCATAAAAAATACAAACGAAAGGCAATGTTATAAGTCAAATAATTATTATTAAGAAGCCTGGTAAATAAAGTTCCAACAAGTTATTTCACATTTCGAAATACAGTAAGCTTTTGTCTTTTTAGTTAGCAGATAAAGATTCGAGAAGTTGGATCAACTTAGAAATTTAGGCTACTACAATAGGTCAGAGATTAGAACCCATTTTATTGTAGAATTCGGTTTTAATTTCATGTTAAAATTTTTACGCCGTTTAATTCAAATTAAAATAAAACTTATTATTATCAATTGTAATGAATTTTACAAAGATCGGATTAAACCGAATTTAAATTGACTGCAATATATTGTTCCAAACTTTACAATAGGTGGTTAAACCAGAATATTGCAATACTAAAATTTACACGAATTTTAAAAGCATTAAATGTATTCGGAAAATAAATGACTCTTTGAAACTTTAATAATTCTACTTTGTTGAATTATTAATTGAAGATAAAAAATAATGATTATTAATTCCATTCGCGTTGTAAAAATATTATCTGAATGAATAAATTCATACAAACATACTATTATTACGGATATAAGGATAACTTTAAGACTTTCAGAAATTACCATAAATGAATAACTCGATATAATATTAACTTTGATTATTAATTTTGCTCAAATTTTACAATTCAAGAGTGAGCGATAAGTCAAATTGACGAGTAATATATGCTACCATTTAAAGTGTTTTAGAAATCTTGTTTTTACATAAATATATTTTAAATAGATAATAACACAACATACCGTCATTACTTGTTCCAATTTTATTAACGACATTCATTCCTAGTTGTCTAACATAATCAAAGCGTTTGCTAGTAAGTAAATTTTGTGATGCCTTTAAAGGTCGCGGGTTTTCCACCAACTCCCTTAATCGTGCTCTCCACATTTCTTCTCGTTCTTTGGTAAATAATTGTAGCAAAACATGATCATGTTCTAATTCATTCAACCACTTAATTAATTCTTCGCTCAAGTCGTAGGCAGTTGGGCGATTATTAGGATCAGGGCTCCAACATTGTTCCATTAATTTGATATATGGCTCGGGCGCATACTTTGGAATTGGCGGACGTTCACCCTCACATAAAGCTAGTGCTAGGTGAATATCATGCTCTCTGTCAATAAACGGCGGTTCTCCAGAGAGTATTTCAAACATGATCATACCAAACCCATAGATGTCTGCTGCCTTAGTAAACTTTCCTCCACGCAATACTTCTGGCGCCACGAATGGCAAGACTCCATATAGTGACTGATCGACCGAATTTTCATTGGCCGGGCGACATAAGCCAAAATCAGAAATTGTTGAATCAAAGCTCTTTTCGCTGTAAATTTGATTCAAGATATTGCCACTATGTAAATCTTTATGGCAATAATTATTTTCGTGAACCTTATGTAATCCATCTCCAATATTAGAGAGCATGTAAATAACCATTCTCCAAGTTATATTAGAGTAATGCGTTCGAATTAAATTCCTAAGATTTCCACCAGGCTTAAACTCAGAGATTATAATATATTCTTTTGTTTGAGGATCGCGAGTAATGCCATACAACCGGTTAATACCATGGCCATTAAAATTTAAATTGCACCTAATCTATATAGAACAGTTAATTAGATATACGAAGCTTTATTTTAATCCTTTAAAAAAGTTATGTTTTATGATGCATACCTCATTTAAAACATCTAATGTCAAATTTGTGGAATTTCGAAGTCTTTTCAAGGCTACTTTAGTTTTACCTTCTCGTTTCCATTTTGATTCTTCAAGGCTCCACGCGAACCCTATGCGCAATAATGGTCCGTCTTTCCAAATAGCTTTACTGACGCTTGCAAAACCACCTTCTCCAATAGATTTAACTTTTTCGAAATTCGAATAGTCTATCCATTCAATTAATTCTCCCATTCTATCTGCATTGAGTTGCGATTCTCTAATTAAGTTATTAACATTCGAGTCACCACTATCCCAAAATTGAAAATTATTACGAAAATGGTTGGCATTGCAAGGTTTGCAATAATAAGATTGAGAATCAATAGGATTAACAAAACAATATATATCTTTGTTGCATTCGGGACATTTTTCCTTAGTTTTTACTCTCTTGGTATTCATTATTTAATTGGAGTTTTAAAAAAAACGATCCCAATGTATGCTTAAATACAGTAACATTAGTGTACAGTATTACGTTATTCCCTAAAATTGGTTATATTAATTGAAGATCCTAGGGACAAATTTTTGTATTACAAAGTTGATCTATGTAACTTTTCCATTTTAAGTTAGAATTTCGTCAACTAAAATAAATTTTATTGGTTAGCAAGGTAATCTGATTTTTTTTTGTAATACAATGTTTTGCGTTACCTATTCATTATGAAGTTATTGTCATGTGAAGTTGTCCAAAGACTTTCTTAATGCACTGTATATTAAACACGCGCTAAAGTGTCAAAAAAAAAAAAAACACATTGATCATTGAAAAAAGTGATTGGCTTAGGTGGCGAAATGTATTATAGTATTATAAACTAGATCCTTCGATATGGTAACGAATCAATAAAAATTTCGACGAAAATGGGAAATTTTATCTTATAAATCAGTGCATTCGATTAGCATTTTACTGGTTTTTGTTTTTTACCTGTCAACTCGATTACAAATTTTTGACTAACTATTATTCGTTAGTAAATATATCAGAAACAGATTCTTATAACGGTCTTGAATAATTGCACCTCAAAATTGGAGAAGTTGTTGATAAAAAATTTTTTTTCGGAAAATATCGTATTTCCTATAAAAAGAAAGAGAGAGAAGAATGAATTCACCTCGCATCTTGCCAACAAACAATCAGGATATTTCTGAATTATCATTATCGAGTTCCACTTCAGAATCAGAATACTTGAATTCGGGAGATCGTGTATCACAAAATGCCGATCGATCGCATAACAATTCTGAAACAAGAGCTTTGATTCCTGCCGGCAGTAAAAGTTGTCGTAAAGTTAGAACAGAGACTCCCTTACCAAAGACTCCAATATTTATATTAAGTTTGATCATATTCAGTGAACCAATTAATTCTACGATTTTATTGCCTTTTGTCTATTTTATGGTATGTTCTTAAAACATTCTTCTTTATCGATAACGAATTAGCGAATCATATGTATACATGATTCTATTATTAGGTACGAGATTTTGGAGTTAGTAAAGATGAGAAACAGATCGGTAGATACGCGGGATTAATCGGTACTATTCATTTTTTAATCTTGGATCGACTTCGATAAATTAACATCAATCAAATGATATTAACTAATTGTACCTTCTATCAGCTTCATCATTCTTTTTTTCTCAATTTTGCTTCTCTATATTCTGGGGCTACATGTCGGATAAATTCGGGAGACGTCCAATTTTACTAATAGGATTGGTGGGGAACATAATAACTAGTATTTTATTTGGTATCAGTCGCTCATTGATATGGGCCATCGCGTCTCGATCAGCATGCGGGATGTTGAATGGTTAGTAATATTAGAATACAGATTTTTTTTTTTATGATATGAACACCTTTTTCTTCTTAATTACGCTTTTTTTATAATTAGCAAACATTGGTGTAGCTAAAAG